CCTTTTTATTTTTCCTTTTTGTGAAAAAAAAGGGGGTGTGCCCTCCACCCTTGATCCGCCCCTGATGAGTATTTCTGCCTTTTGAATGACAGCAAAAGTATGGCTGCATTTGAATCTGATGTCTAGAGCTAGGTCTAGGTCTTTGCTCCATTGGAAATGTGCCAAGGCGTACAGACAATAGATACAGCTGTAGCTCTAGCGGCCCATTTTGGCCTAAGCTTGTGCATACATTGACTTCAAGGCACACTATTCTGACAATTCCATTTAAATTTGCTTGAAATAATATATATTTTCCTTTTGTTTTCTTGACCCCATCCTAATGAAAGCTGAACTGTGATTGGTCCTTTGAATGGCAGGAAATTGGACCAATCACGGTGTAGCTATCATCTTTGGGTGACAGGAAAACAACAGGAAAAGATAGGAGCTGCGTTGCGATTGGTCAAGCTACATGTATCACACAGCTGACAGTTACTGAGATTACATGCTGCCGAGTTTCTGTAGTGTGAATGGGCAAAATGCTCAAGAACTTTGCCATTTCAATGAGGATATAAGGGGAATAAACCTCCCCATCTGACATCTACCAGTAACTTCACCAAAACGGCATAAACACTGTATAGAATTTGGTTGTACAAATAGCTGTAATGGAAGGGGAAGTTGGCATAATCTAAACAGCCAAAATGCGTTTATGGGAGTTCATACATGGCTATCCAAAACGTTTGTTTTAGCCTTACAGTTCTGGAAGTACCCAGAACTATGGGGTTTGACATCTACTGAGCTCACTCGTGGGAGTGCGGCAGATGACAGACCCCCAGTTCTGACATGTCTGAGGAAGTGCAGCAGACATGAAATCCCCCAGTCCTGGGGGTAACAACAGTAACATGTAGGCATTGCCAATATTTCCCCAGGGTGACATCCACCCATGAGACGATAACACATCTTAACGAGTCAAATTTAGCAGGGAAATTACAGAAGCAATAACAGTTTCTTGGCCAGTCTCAAATGGTTTGTGCAAAGGGTGCCAAAGCTTGGTCTAGAATGTCATTCATGTCAAGGAAAATATGGATTCTTACATCATCCGCAAGTAGCCTAGGCGAATGTCGGTCACTTCAGCACCTTGCCAACTCGGCACCTACCAACTCGGACCCTCGTCAACTCGGCACTCAGTCGGCACCTAGCCAACTCGGCACCACAAATTTTGCCGCTGGTCTGTGTTGTCCAACTCCGCACCTGACTGACTCGGCGCTCGAACCGAAGCAATTGGTTCTAATTTCATACATGTGCTAAGTTAATATTGGTTGATTTGGAGATTGGGTAATCCGCATGGATTATAGTAACCCAATTTGTTCAACAAAGAAATTCCTAAAGAAACAAGTTTTTATGTAAAAGGGAAGATTGAAGGAAACCCATTTTTGAAATTAAAGTCCGATTTTAATTTTAAAGGAGAAAAAAAGCCTTGCTTTCTCTTGGCAATTCTGTGAAAGCTCGTTATTGAAGTTGCCCCTGTGTCCCTGGCCCTCCGACAGACCCGACCTAACCCACAAGCCGAGTGGCTACTAGGCCAAACTAAACACTCCTATTACTCTGCAAATACACAGCCCAGCCTGCTGTGCACAACAACGTTAGCGACTGGTCACAGCTTATGGGCAGGTGGGGTGATCCATGCTGGCTGGGCCCAGCCGGTTATACTAACGGGGAGAGCTACATGTACATGTATTTAAGACAGAGGTGGACTAGGCACCCACTCGAAAAAAAAGACTTTTTTTAGAAAACAGCAATTTTAGAAACTTTTCTTGAACTTTTCTTGTCAAAAGACTTGGAGGTGTAGATTCCAAACCAGTAAAACTTCCAAAAACCTTGCATACACTGTACTACAGTACTTAAAAAGGTCTTTGAGATACGCATCACATTTAAGCGTATTCCATGAACAATAGTTTCTAATCCATTTGGGGTGTTAATTATCTGTGACTTTTGGGAGAAAATTCCATCCGAACAGTATCTCTATCTTCCATGTACCGCCTACTGCGTACGGCGCCCGTGTGTAGGTGCCGAGTTTGAGAGGTGCCGTGTTGGCAAGGTACCGACATGACTGAGTTGGTTTTGTACAGGTGCCGAGTTGGTGGGTGCCAAGTTGGTGGGTGCCGAGCTGGTAAGGTACCGAGTTGATGAGGTGCCGAGTTTGCATGTGCCGAGTTGGCAAGGTGCCAAAGTGACCGGTTACCGCCTAGGCCCCCTATAAAACTTAAATCAGTCGATCAATTCATGATCAATCATGTGACATGTCAATGCAAGTACAACAGAATAGATCCGACCAATGACTTGACACTAAATTGCCTAAAACACTTGCCCACTTCCAACCTGTTCGACAAGCAAACACTGTGCAAATTAGACTTCTTTTCTTGGAAAGAACGTGGAAGAAAGCGAAGATTTTCCTTCTTTACAGCGCGCCACCTGCTAAGCGCGAACGTGTGGCGTTATTAAGACCTAACCTACGCCACTTCCGACTTCTTCCGATTTACCATGTTCACTTCAAATGAAATCATGACCAGTTATCACTTATTCTTATATTCAGAAACGAATTCCCTGTTTTTACATACCTTGCAACTGTCAGGAAAAATAAATATGCTGTCGTAGTTTTGAGTGAATTTACGCCTCCCTACGAATTCACTTCCACACTCACAACACTACTTTCAACATATCACAAGGTGGTGAATTTACATGTTCAGCACGTCACGAGACCGTGATAATGCTGGTACTACATATCTGTACGGCCAATGTTCGTTGCTCAAACCATACTCCAAGGAACCAGCGACTAACCTGACGTCGCTGATCTTCTGTGTGGGGTTTTGCGAGAATTTACGTTGTTTGATCTATCTGGCTTCCGACTCAAACATTTTCATTCATACCATACCATTTAGTCTGGAAAACTGAGCACACGCACATCTACCACGATAGGATTTGCATGCAACAGAGGACTTATTTGCGGTCAGAGGCCTCAGGGTGCAGACCACGAATTCAAGTGAGAATTTCTGGCCAGCTCATTAGCATTAAAAGTGCCCCCACAGTATCTTTTGAAAAAGGAGATTGTTTGGCCCCCAAAATATTTAGATTGTTTAAATCGTTGCCGGGATCAATTCCCTGGGTCTTTGAGCTTTCATATGAGAGCAGAATGGCTAAAAAATACGGTTGAAAATGGTCCTAAGTGCCCGAGAAAGTTGAGGGTTGCCACTTGGAAAATGGCTGCAATCAGACTTTGGAAAAATCACTGTTTTTTTTTTTGGGGGGGGTGATTTTGTTTTGTGGGAATTATTAAAAATGTAACTGTTTAACCCAAGTAAGATTTAAAAGAAATTGACAGATGAGTGCCCAGACAAGAATTTCATTTGTGTTTCAAAAATCTCAGGGATGTTGGCGTGCATATTATTGGGCCCAGCGCATAGTTTTACTACTATTTTAGGAGTATCTTCGGGGAAAGGCTAGTAAATTTCTTTTTGCGGCTAACCCACATCAAGTTAAAACGAACAGTGATCTTCCAGCCATAATCATGAATTTCCAGTGAAAACAAAACGGAAGCCAACCTCTTCTCGAGAGTCAACAGGCGGCGCTATTTCGGTCTGGTTTTCCAGGCTGTTTTCTATGGGTTCGTAATAGTGTAGTGCAACCACAGACATAATTATAAACGCATTTCAAGCCATAAAATGTGCAAAATTCATTGTGTAACTGTCAATGTGTAAATACTGAGTGACTGAAACGTTATCCGCCCTGAGCCGAAGTGCACCCTCAGCGGCGAAAGAAAGACGGGGGTACTAAGTTTGCCAACCGGGTTCTAACACGCGTTCGGCGAGCACGCAAAGACCGCTACAAACAAATTCCCATAGACAGCAATGAAAATCCCCACACTTCGCAATTATTTTAAAAATACCCACAACTCTCACAGGTGTCCAGGCTGCAGAGAAATACGATGATCGACACGTCTCCTTTCATTTTCCTTTCAATTTTCGGGGGGGGGAGTGGACAAATGAATTTTGGAGAAATTTTCACCAGAAGCAGACCACCCCTAAAATGAAGAAAATGTCCCTGCCCAGGAAAGTAGCCATTTTCAAATCCATCCCTCTGCAAAACGGCCAAATAGTGCCATTTTCGCACCCGATTGCATCCAAATATTTTCAAGCCCAAAGTCCGGGCCAGAGGTTCAGTGCCACATTTCTCCAATTCCTCAATTCAAGACTCTCAGGACTCTCTAATGTAGAANCTGATAACTGCGAGCTTAACCACTCGGCCATCTCAGAGATAATGTTTTCTGCTGTTCATGTTAATTAAGGAGATAACAAAGTCATTCAACTTACTGCACAGAATGTTGCCGTGTAAATACTAAGTGACTGAAACGTTATCCTTCCTGAGCTGAAGTGCACCCTCAGCGGCGAAAGAAAGACGGGGGTACTAAGTTTTCCAACCGGGTTCTAACACGCGTTCGGCGAGCACGCGAAGACCACACAATTATTCTAGACTAAATCGTTGCGGGGTGCGGGTACTCGGCGTGCTCCGCGTCAAGGGTGCACCGCTACAAATAAATTCCCATAGACAGCAATGAAAATCCCCACACTTCGCAATTATTTTAAAAATACTCACGACTCTCACAGGTGTCCAGCTGCACAGGAATACGACGATCGACATGTCCCCTTTCATTTTCCTTTCAATTTTCGGGGGGTGGACAAATGAACTTTTGAGAAATTTTCACCAGAAGCAGTCCACCCCTAAAATGAAGAAAATGTCCCTGCCCAGAAAAGTAGCCATTTTAAAAACCATTCCTCTGCAAAACGGCCAAATAGTGCCATTTTCGGACCGGATTGCATCCAAATAATTTGAAGCCCAAATTCCGGGCCAGAGGTTCAGTGCCATATTTCTCCAATTCCTCAATTTCATGACTCTCAAGACTCTCTAATACAGAATATTTTGAGTGTATAACTTTTATTAATGAGTCTGGCGGACATATTTAGGGCCTTTTTTGCGAGGGTACACCCTCAAGGCGGCATAAACTTGCCTACCTATGCGGTGCGTGAGTACTAAAGGATTGTCGATTTCATTTAAAAACACGCCCCCTTTTATTCCTGCTCGGAGCGGGAAATAGTGTATTTGATGTGAGTTGAGTTGATTTGATTTGATTTATTCACTATTTCCAAAAAAATCTTATTACAAAAACTAAATTAAGGAAAAGCAAACTCAACGATTTCCAAAAGTAAAAATAGTAGGGATAACGCAAAAAAGTTAATTTAACTTATTTCCATTGCGGTCCCAACTGATGAGAATTAACCTGACAAGTACAGTATTAAAAATAGATCAAAAATCATCCAAATATTATAGACGGATCAAAAACACAAAAATCACGTGGCAAAAGCAGAAGTACACATTCACACAAACAGTGGTCGTCAATATTAAATGCTCTCCCTGACAGCTTCTCTTAAAATTAAATGAACCAGAATCAATATGGGCAAGTCCCCGGACCACGTCTATCCGGTTCGTGAGTAACTTGGTCACATACACTCGGATGCGCCACGATTTGCAGACTCCCATTGGACGATAGTTGAAGTTGCGCGTATGCATGTAACTCCGTGTGCACGCAGTGCATGTGCAGTGGACCTAGTTAAAACTTAAGCGACGTCCCACTTGATACACCAGCCTACATGTCCCAACTCTTTCAGTGTTATATGAAAGACTCGCCATGTATGCCTTTTTTGGGGGGGGGTTCTCTCGTTTTCTTTACTAGCATGAAATGACAGCCCAATCATTAACCCAATAGTTCTGCAAAATAACACGTGCTGTGTGGTGTATGGCTCTCCGGACACACTGTCCTGTATACCTCTTTTACAGCAGATTCTGTCTCTGTAAAGATGTGGTTGCCCAAGCACTTTTTCTGTCATATTATAATTCGTTTTCAACATTGTAGACCTTCACCATTGTGGTTCTTCGTATTAATCCTTGCATTTTCCCATTAGTCCCTTTTTTACAGTCCAGTGTGACGGTGATCCATGAATATCGTAAAAAAAAAAAAACAAGGGGAGCGGAGATTCAAGTTGTTTAATTAAATAGGACTTGGTGGTCTATGCGTTTATGGTTGCACTAGTACTGCGCCAAATACGCGCCCACAGAAGACAGCGTAAAACCAGACCGCCATGGCGCGCCTGTTGACTCTCGGGAAGAGGTTGCCCTCCGTTTTTTTCACTGAAAATTCAAGATTGTGACCAGAAGATCACTTTTCGTTTCAATGTGATGGGGGTTAGCAGCGAAAAAAAGATTTTTATTCGCCTTTCCCCGAAGATACTCCCAAAATAGTAGTAAAACTATGCGCTCGCGGCTCTGAAGGTAGCCGCCCGCCTCTATATTTCTTGGGGCTTTGTGTACAAGAAATACCCCGACCTGGAAGCTACCAGTCCAAAATTCGGGATTTATAGAAATATTTCTATGACCCCTCCTGATTATGGCATGTCTTATTGTAAAAACCCCGAGGGATCACAAATTATTAAAGAGCTCGCGCGCGCGCAGAAATCCAGCCATTTGGTGAAACGCATCCTCTCCCACGTAAATTTGAAAGAGCGCCCTCAAGCTTCGGGTTACCTATTACCTACGTGTACCGTCTTTGTGTGTGTGACACTCGGGAACTAACTAGTAAAACTGCATGTTTTGTAAGATTATGATCACTTTGACCTTTTCTTGTATGTCAGTCGTGTTTGTCGAATTACTTTTTGGGAAGGAGGGGGTCTGGTTTTATGCCCTCATCAAACCTGTTTGAAATAACAGGTACATTTGGGAAGTATTGAGTTTGAAAATGGAGCTACTTGACTATGCCATTTTTCTAACTCCGAGTTCCGATATTAAACTGATGGCCAATGAGGCACGGATTAATTCAAATGACAAGTTTCAGTCAGCCCGATCAAACTTAAGTATAACGGGAGTTACGGGGGGGGGCAGGATGGCCTAAGTGCCTTTTCAGGCGACGATGAGGTAAAACCAAAAGCTAATACTGATTTGACATCCAATGCAATCTCGATGTCGGTTTTTGTGGTTGAAATTCCAGCAACTAGGATTGTTAATTTCTTTCGAGTTTATTTCATTATTTTCCTGTTTGTATTTTTCGGGCAGACCTGTCTGACTAGAGTAAGTGATGGATCAACCATTCACAAGAAAAGGAGCGGCATATGCAACGCATTTGTTGCAACTTTTGGAGGTAACCCAAGAAGATATGGGACGTCTTTTTTGAGAGAATTTTACTTGAAAGATATCAAATTACTCTGCAGTTGAAAGCGAACGAAATTTGTTGTTGTAACAAATGAAAATGTATTTCCATTAATAAAATGGGAAGGCGAGTGCCGCCCGACTGTGCCACTCCTGGATCTCTTACTATTGAATCACCAATAATAAACATTATACGCCGGACAGCTTTTATACTGAGATCACTGAGAAGAAGTGGACCCAACACGGTTGGAATCAGTTTCACCGTCGAAGATTTTAAAAATGAATGAAATTAATCAGCATCAATCCTGTAGCTCACTCTATTCAAACCTAAAAAACTGCCTTGTGGGTTCTGCGCCCAGGGACACGAAAAAAAATGTGGTGAGGGAAAAATGCAAAAGTTATGCGGTGTTGACCAAGCATTCAGGCGCACGGACTCCTGAAATTCCACAAGGAATCGCAGTTAGCGGCTTCCATAT